GGCGTGTGATGCCAATTAGCGCGTGAACCTCCAAGTGAGTGAATCGCCACAACGAGGACTAGCTTGCCGGCAAACAAGTGAACCTCGGTAATAAATCATTGTGTCATCATTTGATTCTGAGGTGATTGGTCCTCATTGTTATTCATTCTTGTGATTGATTGGCTCCTTCCTCGACACGACGGTATAACCTTCTTCCTCACTCTCTTTACATTACCGCAAACTAGTTGTCAAGCTCTTTAGTGTAGCTAGTTGTGAGAGCTTGTTAGTTTGGTTAGTGTGGCTCTTTAGTTAGCTTTTGGGAGCACACTAACTTAGTGTAGTGTCATAGCTGTTGTGTGGATAGAAACTATATTAACTAGAATTGTGGTAGGTGGCTTGCTATTTTAGTAGGCTAGCGCAACACTTGCTTCGCCTCATAATTGTCTAACCGGTTTGTTAAGTGTTGTTGTAGAATTTTTTAATAGGCTATTCATCCTTCTCTAGCCATTAGGACCTTTCACCATGTCCCACTGAGCCTGTGGCACCGGTGAGGGAGACAAACGAGGCTGATGTCGTTTGAGCAACTAGAGAGAGGGATTTTACATCCCAAAAGATGTCCTATGATCTTGAGCATAGGAAGTGGGTCACTGTCAACAAGAAATGTTTGGCTGTGATAAAGAACACGATTGAGCCTACAATTGTGGGCTCAATCCCAGAGTGTGACACGGTCACCGAGTACCTCGATAGAATAAAGAGTCAGTTCACTGGCTCTTCAAAGACATATGCTACCCAGCTGATAAAGCAGCTAATGACAGAGAGGTACTCAAGAAATGGTGGCATAAGAGAGCACATACTAAGGATGAGTAATTTGGCATCTAAGCTAAAACCAATGGATCTGGCTCTCAGGGAAGAGTTTCTTATCCATCTGATTTTTGCTTCCTTATCAAAGAAATTTGATACTTTTGTTGTTAACTACAACATACAGCCCGAGAAGTGGGACTTAGAGAGGCTCATGGCTATGTGTGTGCAAGAGGAGGAGAGAATGAAAGTTGTCAATAGTGGCACTATCAATTATGTGAAAGACAACAAGAAAAAGAATAATAATGCTAACTCCTCCTCAAAGTCAAAGGGAAAGGGTCCCATGCTGCATCAGCCTCAGCAGAATAAGTTCACAGTAAAGAAAGATCAGTGTCTCTATTGCAAGAAGATGGGATATTATAAGAAAGATTGTCCCAATTACTTAAAGATGATCATGGCAAAGAAAGGTGAGAACATTATTACGTTCATAAATGAATCCCTGTATGTACAGTATTCGAAATCTACTTGGTGGATTGACTCAGATGCAACTGTTCATGTTGCTAATTCCTTATAGGGATTCCATTCGACGAGGACTACGCAAAGAAGAGAAAGACATGTTAAAGTTGCAAATGGAGTCCTAATAGATGTTGAAGCCGTTGGCAATCTTTCTCTAGAGCTTGCTGATGGCTTCACACTTTTACTTAGAGATGTACTTTATGTTCCCTCTTTACAGAGAAGCTTGATTAGTGTTTCATGCTTGGACAATAATGGATATGACTGCCATTTTGAAAATGGCAAATGTAAGATAACATTTAATAATGCACGTGTTGGTCTTGCTATCTTACAAAATGAGCTTTATTTGTTATCACTACGTGATGATGTGAATGTTGTATGCGATGATGGGAACATCGCGTGCGACAATGAGAATGTATCCTCGTCTGTGGATGTAAACAGAAAACGAAAGAGAGCTCACGATGTGTTGTCGAAATTATGGCACTGTCGTTTAGGCCATATTTCGAGGGGGAGAATAGAAAGACTAGTTAAGAATGATATTCTTCCTCCATTAGAGTTCTCAGATTTAGAACAATGCAGAGAATGCATAAAAGGAAAGTATGTAAAGAAAATTAAGAAAGATGCCAAACGAAACGTAGGAATTTTACAGATTATTCACACAGACATCTGTGGTCCGTTTCCTGTAAAGAGTGTGGTCCATTTCCTATAAATTGTGTCTATGCAAAGTTTAAGAATGAGAAGTTTATCTTTCTTGTCCTGTATGTGGATGATGTCTTACTTGCTAGTAGTGATGTCAGTCTACTACTAGAGACAAAGAAGTTTTGTCCTCAAAATTTGATATGAAAGATCTAGGTGAAGCTTCGTTCGTTCTAGGGATCGAGATTCACCGAGATAGAAGTAAAGAGGTATTAGGACTGTCACAAAAGGCATACATAGAAAAAATCTTAAATAAATTCAATATGCACAAATGTAGTCCCTCACCTGCTCCTATAGTCAAGGGCGACAGGTATGGAGATTTTCAATGCCCCAGGAATCAATATGAGATCGATCAAATGAAAACGGTTCCATATGCTTCAGCTATCGGAAGCTTGCAATATGCTCAAGTATGTACGTGCCCTGACTTGGCATTTGTTACCGGGTTACTTGGCAGATTTCAGAGCAATCCTAGAACAGAACACTGGAAATTAGTAAAGAAAGTCTTGCGTTATTTGCAAGGAACGAAAAGCCTCATGATGATGTATAGAAGATCAGATTCACACCATATAGTGGGATATTCAGATTCTGATTATGCGAGAGATGATAGAAAATCCACGTCTGGATATGTATTCACTCTCGCAGGGGGAGCTATTTTATGGAAAAGCTCAAAGCAAACCGTCACTACATCGTTCACAATGTATGCCGAGTTTGTAGCGTGTTATGAGGCAACGGGGCAGGCGAACTGGCTAAAGAAGTTCATACCCGGTTTGAAGGTGGTTGACAACATCTATAGACCATTTAAGTTATACTGCGATAATAATCCGGCAGTATAGTATGCTCACAACAATAAGTCAAGTGGTACTGCTAAACACATTGACATAAAGTATTATGTTGTGAAAGATAAAGTCTGGGATCTTGTCATAAGTCTTGAGCATATAAATACTGAAAAGATGCTCGCAGAGCCGCTTACAAAAGGCTTACCACCCAACGTGTTCAGATAACATGTAGCCGACATTGGTTTAAGGGAAAGTCTATAATTTCTGGACAAAAGAAGACCCAAAGTTAAGTATCTATTTCAGAACAGAGTAGTGTGTTGTAGTTGTTAAATCTATCGGCAATTGACCGTGACGATGAAACATGCCCTATGCGCTAATCTGTAATGGAATGAACAAAAGTAAATGATATAAAATTGAAAGATGGTAGGAGATCAAGGGGGAGATTGTTAGATTGATCTCTAATCCCAAACTAGGCCCAACGGCCTAGTTGGGCCTCTGATCCGCGCCCTGATCGGGGGCGCCCAGCCCACTATGGCTGGAGGCCCCTGTCACACTGCGCTATATATAGAGGTGGGGGTCGGCGGCTCTGAGTACGAGGTTCGCCTGAGCCGAGCTCCCCACCGATAAACTCTAGCCCGATCTGGTGAGGGGCGCAGCCAGTGACGGGAAGCACCGCCACCACTGCACTGCGCTGCCACCGGTCTTCACCGCCGGTCGCCACCGCCCATCACCGTCATCGTCCTCACCGACCGTCGTTGCCCTCGCGCAGACACCGACACAACGACCATGGCCGATGCCTCTGGATCGAAGGCCTACGATGGTCGGTAACCTAGCACTACTCTTCCCTCTAATCTGTGTCTAGTTCACATACTAGGATATTTTATCCATTTATCAGATGTACCCGGCTAGATCTATGACTATGTGATCATTATAAATGTTAACACTCGGGCCTTCCATATGAGAAATTCCTTTACATCCAAGCATCCAGCTACTACCTCAAGAACTCACCTAAAGTCTGACAGTTATGTAGTCATCATTGTTTTTGGGAAAAAATGCATGTGCAAATATAAATTTGAGTAGACAAGGCTGATAGTTTGTAGTCTTTAGGATAATTATGACTTAGGGCACAAGGCTTATGAATCACAAAATTGGATTACCAATGCTCAAAACTTCACTGATCAAGGTGAAGTTACAAATTTATGTAAACACGTCTCCTGTTCAATGTTGTATAGAAGCGCATGAATTATAATGGGCCTCTTCCAAAAAAGGGAATGGAGTACTGGACTGAGGAGCAAAAATCTATACAGGAAATGTTTAGACTGGTTCTTATATTTGATATGTGCATTTGTAAGAGTTGAAAATAAGGAACCAGCTACTAGTCTAAACATTTCCTGAATCAAAAAAACTTATGAAATAATGCAAAATTGTGGAGACTCATCTGAAATTTTGAATAAACAAATCTCACAGAGACCATGTACCTTTGAATTTGACTCATACTTCTATTTTTTTGGTTTGATAGCCAAACTGATTTTACATAATGGCTTCCAGCATAGGTACTTATGTCATTCCCGCATGAGTACTCGTGTGACAATATGGACAAACTGTTTCTATCATCAACCTATCCATTGGAAATTACCTCCCTTGAAAGAATGGTAGGGAGAAAGAGTGAAGCCGAGCTTAGGTCGAAGGAACGACTTGGGCTCGAATACCCTGTAGGATGCAGCTCTGGCGTGAGGACGATCTAGCAACCCAGGCACCCAGGAGGGCCCCACATTGCCGCGGTCCCGTCATCGAACTTCTGCAAAGCATACATGAAAAAAATTAGCATGTAAAGCCAGAAACTGGTCCGTTATCTAACTTCCGCAAAGCATAAACGAAAAAAATTAGCACGCAAAGCCAGAAGTGTTTTGCTCCAGTACGATGCCACATACCTTGGTGAAAGTGTCACCTTACCAATGACGATCAATGAGGGACAGGACTGGCAGTAGATCGATGTAGGGTGTGCGTGGGGTAGGTGTCAGATGGAAACCGAAAGCGTTGGAGCCAGATGCTGAGATGCCAGCTCCATCATGCCGGCAGCCGAGATCCGCTGCGTGCCTGCGTGAAACATCAGGATCCACCTGAGGCTGCCTTTGCCCTCTGCTACACGCGTATGGCGAGTGCGTTTTCGGGGCACCCGGTTGTGAGTGGATAGCCGAGGAGCACGAGCGTCACCACCATCCCACGAACTCCTCCTCCATGCCGTCGGCTTTGAGGGGGACGCCAGATCTCGCATCACCGGATCTGGGAGAGAGGACCGAGGACTTTGAGACAGCTGCCGAATCCCACCTCCTATCCGACATGTCACAGCTGCGTGTCGTCAGGCTGCAAGCTGTAGACGTGAGGGGCAGGTGAGCGGCGGCTACGGCGACGGTGGGGGGAAGAGGGGAAAAAAAGGGGGGAGAATTTCTCGTGTGCCATTAAAAAAAATCGTAATGCCTTGTGTGTCTTTGAAAAAGTTCAGCGGTCTTCAGCGTCACTGCTCCAACTTTTTTGTGCCCTCTATGCCACTACCGTCAGTTTGGCCTCTAACGTCGTCAAACTGCAAGTGTGAAAAGACGAAAATACCCTTAAGTCTAAATATATCATTAATTTTTTGAGCATCTTAACGACTTTAAATGAAAAAACTCAAAACTCGAGATCTATAATTTTTATATAAAAATTATCTTCATTTAATTTCATAGAAAAATATGATTTGATATGATTAATATATCTTAGAAAAATTATATCTTTTTTTGCGGAATTAAATGAAGATAATTTTTATATGAAAATTATAGATCTCGACGAGATCTACAACTTTCTAGTTTTGAGTTTTTTCATTTGAAGTCGTTAAGATGCTCAAAAAAAATTAATGACATATTTAGACTTGGGTATTTTCGTCTTTTCACACCTGCAGTTTGACGGCGTTAGAGCCCAAACTGACGGCAGTGGCATGGAGGGCACAAAAAAGTTAGAGCAGTAGCGCTGAAGACCGCTGAACTTTTCTAGAGACATACAGGGCACTGCGATCTTTTTTTAATGACACACAAAAATTCCCTAAAAAAAGATAGAAGGAACAAGGGGATCTAGGTCTGGTGCTGGGAGGAGGCGGAGGCGCCGTCCGTGAAATGGCCCACGGAGGCTTTTCTGTAAAAACGATGAGGATCTCAAATTTTCTCTTCTTTACCTTGGAATAAAGTTTAGATAAAGGGTTTATACATGAAATATCTGAACGTGGTACTGTAGATGGCCGACTAAGTTGGACCACGGGTTGATTATTAAAAAAACGAAAGGGCTTTTTTGCTAAACCTCCTGGAGCACGCGTCCGTATGGGCCCCGTTCGGTTTGCTGAAACTTGGTTGAAACTGACTGAAAAACACTGTTTTAACTAAATTGTTATGAGAGAAAAATACTGTTCCGGTTAAAAAAAACAAAGCCGAACAGGCTGGTTTTTTGCTAAGCCGAACGGGGCCGGTCGGCCGGACTCGCTGTGCCAGTGAAACGCGGAGAGAGCTTGAATCCGCTGTACGTTTTAAGGGCCTGATGCATGCTGCTGCTGCTGCTGTGGCTGTGGTCGTGTGGAAGTGGAACTATGGATGACGTGTGGGGCCGTGCTACGACGGTAGCACGCGGGAAGCAGGTGTGGCCTCGGTCATCCAACGGTAACTCTGAACCTTTTTTTTATTTCTTTCTTTATTTAGGGCTGTCCGGCTGTGTCACTTTACGTTTACACTTGCTTGGCAGGTGCAAAGCGAAGATGCGTGCTAGAAAGAACCACTCTGATTGTACAGTGCCCATGCTCGATCAGATCCAGGTTTGCAACTTGCGAGTGTACTACTGTGTACTAGCGCAAACGGGCCGAGCTTTTGAGTTCTGTTGGACTCGTTTCCTAGAAGCGGCAACTGGGCCTGAGCAAGCTGTTTCCTTTTCCTCCACCTGCCATCTGAAACCTTGGCCACTGAAGATGACTGATCATCAAGACGACTTCATATTCCTCGAACGCTCATAGCAACATGAAAGGGAACCAGATGCAAAACACGAATAATTGGAGACACCACCCGAACGAACGATCCTCCTTTTTCTTTTGTTGGGAGGACATTTTCGTACACTCGTATGAACATTGAGCTGAGCTTGTCCCCAGCTGGTCGATTCCAGCAAAGCAACTTATTATCCACTGACCTCACACCTAAGGCCTTGTTTAGTTGGCGAAATTTTTTGAAAAATGGTACTGTAGCACTTTCGTTTTTATTTGACAATTAGTGTCCAATCATAGTCTAATTAGGCTTAAAAGATTCGTCTCGTGAATTTCATCTAAACTATGTAATTAGTTTTATTTTTTATTTATATTTAATGCTTTATGCATACGGCCAAAGATTCGATGTGACGAAAAATCTTAAAAAAATTTATAAAATTTTAGAAACTAAACAGGCACTAAGCCGCACTGCACAAAGAAAGATTCTTCAGAAAGGCATCCGGCCCATGAGGCCACGACCTACACAGCACACAGGACCAAAATACTCCCTACGCCAAAGAAAACATGCAATTCTAACACAGTATAATGTTTTAGTATATCATATTTAACTAATTATAGATAAAAACTATAAGTATTTATAATATTAAATAAACATCATTAGATCAAATATGAAATATATTTTTATAATAAATTAATTTGTAGTCATAAATATAAATATTATTCATTAAAACTTTAGTCAAACGTGAATAACTTTATTTGGTACCTAACCCATAGTTGCTTTTTTTTTATAGATGGAGCGAGTACTCCACGCCGAAGAACAGAACGCTGTGCCAGAGTCTGCCCCTGAGAGATCCACAGCCTGTTTGTTTGGCTTTGGCTTGTCGTAAACGATCGTAAATTTTTAGTCGGAACAATATTTTTCTCTCATACAAAACAGCCAACAGTACTTCTTCACAAACCAGCCAACCGAACATGCTGCCAATCCTGGAACAGCTCAAGACAGGAAGGCACTGAAGCACAACAGAGCACGGCCGCGGCGCACGTGGCCCACACGTGAGGCCCCCGGAAAAGCCGAGCGGTCACTCACATGCCCGCGGGCCCGCCGCCGAGTCGCGCGAGCCGTGTCGCGGACGCGTCGGGGACTCCACTGATGGGCGCTGGACGTCGCACCAACCGGCACCCACCTCCAATCCTACCAATAAGCGTACCCCACGACAGCGCCCCGCACCGCACATGGGGCCAGCCGCTGCCCTGTCCCACCTCGGTGGCATCCAACCTCTCACCGGCCCGTGGGACCAAAGCTAGAGAAACCCACCTGTCAGTGAAGTCTTACTGTGGCGTTCACCGGCCCAGCGTTTGCCAGCTGCGGGGACAGGCGCGGGCCAGCGGGGACGAAAAAACGTTACCCCGGGGCAGCTTGGGAACAGCCTAGACGGGACCTGGTTTCTTCCTGTGGGCCCCAACGGAATGGCGATATTTGCAGGGGCAGTTCGGGTACTTCGGCGCCGCAGGGTGGGAAATTTGAAAATCACGCAAGGGGGAGAGATCTGGGCCGTGCGTCGCGAGGAGGGCTCCGAGCGGGAAGGTGCGGGCCGTCGGATGCTCGCAGCGGCCACCGTCGCCTACGGCTATTTAACCCCGCGCTGCCGACGCCGCACTCGCCCCCGGCCTCTCTCTCCGCCTCCCCGTCCCCGATCGATCTCGCTCGCCGCCAGTTGCCTCGCAGTTTGGATCATCTCGTACGTCGTAAGGATTTCTGAACTACCCTCGTAATCGAGTTTTGAATCTGTGCTGCGGTCCAGCATTGTTTCTGGTTGTTGTGGCACCGTAGCTAGGATTTTATTTTATTTTTGCCGAATTCTGGGTTGTTTTCGCGATGTAACTGGAAATGTCATTGGATCTGCGCGGGATCTGCTGATTATTTCCACCTAGGAGTGTCCTGGTCCAGTGCTTGTTTATCTCTATTTTTCCACGAAGATTGTTCGATTAGTTCGGCGATTCTGCGTAGTTGAGTGGGATCTCTACCGTTGGATTTGGGGGAATTTCGTGGTCCTTTTTTTGTGACTAATCACTCGATCTCGGATATGTAACTGCTAGAACTTAGATGTAGAGAGCTTTGTGGGTTTATTATCAGAACTTAGTACAGTTTTGACTACAAGTTTCAAGACTGAAACTAGATCGGCAACTGACGTCACTGTTTGAACGGTTGAGCTCATGAAATTATTTATAATCTCGAGGAAATATCGATTAGATCTGCTGTAAATATTGATACATTTAGTACTTATTAGTAGGGGATTCATGTGATTGATGTGTGTAAGATGGTTTTGAAACCCCTGATCTTGTTAGGGTTCTCTATGTGATCCTAGTACGAGTTTAGTGACATTTCAGATCAGAAACTGCAGTGACAATGTGAGCTCGCTTTCTGGTTCAGTGGTAAATGGCCAGACATACATGATACAGGATCTAATCAACAACTTGAGGAGGGTGGGTGGTAACTAGCAAATGTTTTTTTTTCTTTGGCACAGTATTTTAAGTTGGTGTGCTTGTTGCGGTATCTGAAAGTCTGAAACTAATTCCTATGTGCTTCCCTTGTTTCTAGGGCGAAGATGAGAGAGATCTTGCACATCCAGGGAGGACAATGTGGGAACCAGATCGGTGCCAAGTTCTGGGAGGTGGTGTGTGATGAACACGGCATTGACCCTACTGGCCGGTACACCGGCAATTCTGACCTTCAGTTGGAGCGTGTCAATGTCTACTACAATGAGGCCTCCTGCGGCCGCTTTGTGCCCCGTGCTGTTCTCATGGACCTTGAGCCTGGGACAATGGACAGTGTCCGCACTGGACCCTATGGTCAGATCTTCCGCCCTGACAACTTTGTGTTCGGACAATCGGGTGCTGGTAACAACTGGGCTAAGGGCCATTACACCGAGGGTGCTGAGCTCATTGACTCTGTTATGGATGTTGTGAGGAAGGAAGCTGAGAACTGTGACTGCTTGCAAGGTACTTGAGCTTCTTGTTGATAAAGCCGATTGCTTACAGTTGTTAGATCAGTTTTTGATCCAATTTAGAGTGAGATGCACATGTTCAAATATCTCCTACTGTTTTTTACCATGCTTGTGATTTTTTCACTATGATGTGATACATTATATCCATCTGACTGATGCTATCTATGGGAACTAGAACTGCAATATCTTGTTATTATGAAGCTGCTATTGCTCTTGAACCTAAGTCAATTCGCTCGTTTTAGTTCATGTACTGTATTTCTATATCGTCTTAATTGACATTGGTACTTGGTTATTGCTGATGTGCTTAGTAATTTCACATTTCAGTATCTAGACATTGATACTTGTTGATTAATTGCTGGTGTGCTTAGTAATTTCACATTTCAGTGTTCTGGCCATGTTCCGTGGAAGTGTAGTATTCTCTTGCACTTGATCAGAAACAAAAAGTTATATTCTTCAATTTATATGGATTGTTGTATTCTCTTGCACTTGTTGCTTGAACAATTGACATACAAAAGTACATAATAAGCTGTTCTGACTGTGATTACTATCACCTCCGTGTGTCATGTATCTTGGTTGCCATGTACTTTATTATGTGTTTTTTTTTTCAATCACCCATGCAACTAAACTTGATTACCATGCTACACTGAACATTAACTCAATCTATTTGTTTGTTCAGGATTCCAAGTATGCCACTCCCTTGGTGGTGGTACTGGATCTGGTATGGGTACGCTGTTGATCTCAAAGATCAGGGAGGAGTACCCTGACCGCATGATGCTGACATTCTCAGTTTTCCCCTCACCGAAAGTATCTGATACGGTGGTTGAGCCATACAATGCTACTCTTTCTGTTCACCAGTTGGTTGAGAATGCTGATGAGTGCATGGTTCTAGACAATGAGGCCCTCTACGACATTTGCTTCAGGACTCTTAAGCTCACCACCCCTAGCTGTAAGCAGCCTCATTGTTTCTCAGTTTTATCTCTTCAGCGTTGCAGATATATGCATGCTTGTACTGGTGTATTTACTGTGTATGATAACACTCTGTATTTGTTAATTTCTGCAGTTGGGGATTTGAACCATTTGATCTCTGCAACCATGAGTGGAGTCACCTGCTGCCTAAGGTTCCCTGGTCAGTTGAACTCTGACCTCAGGAAGCTGGCGGTGAACCTGATCCCCTTCCCACGTCTCCACTTCTTCATGGTTGGCTTCGCGCCGCTGACATCCCGTGGCTCCCAGCAGTACCGGGCCCTCACTGTCCCCGAGCTCACACAGCAGATGTGGGATGCCAAGAACATGATGTGCGCTGCTGACCCTCGCCATGGGCGTTACCTCACCGCCTCGGCCATGTTCCGTGGGAAGATGAGCACCAAGGAGGTCGACGAGCAGATGATCAACGTCCAGAACAAGAACTCATCCTACTTCGTGGAGTGGATCCCCAACAACGTGAAGTCCAGCGTGTGTGACATCCCGCCGAGGGGCCTGTCCATGGCGTCTACCTTCATCGGCAACTCGACTTCCATCCAGGAGATGTTCCGGAGGGTGAGCGAGCAGTTCACTGCCATGTTCAGGAGGAAGGCTTTCTTGCACTGGTACACGGGCGAGGGCATGGACGAGATGGAGTTCACCGAGGCTGAGAGCAACATGAATGACCTCGTGTCTGAGTACCAGCAGTACCAGGACGCGACTGCCGATGACGAGGGCGAGTACGAGGACGAGGAGGAGGTGCAAGCCGATGACATGTGAGGAGGAGGCTGTGATCGCGTGAAGCCTGGTGGTTCTAGGGCAGGCAGACTTCAATAAGTTTGGTGTCCCCTTACCTATTGTTGCCGTGTTACTACTGCTAGCGTACCACCCTCGTGGCCCATTCCGCCGCTCTTGATGCTTGTATTTTCCTTGTGCTATGGAACGTGCTTTTGGTACGATGCTACTTACTACGGCTAGCTGCCAGTATGCTTGGCGTTTGAAGTTCCTTGTGTGAATTTGAGCCTTGCGTGTCGCTTCTTATTAATTATATTATGCAGCGATATTATTAATTTCGTGCATTGCCCTCTGACATGGCTTGGAGACCGGCTGCTCCCTGTTGGCGAAGCAACTGACAGCTTGTTACCACCTCTATTTATACAGTCAGTTTCATTGATGCCAAATTGCCAAGCCAACGGGGGTTTTCCTCAACCGCTATTGGAACCAGAATACTAGGCTGCAAAGGATGAAAGAGTCAATCTTCTCGCTCTGCCACAGGGTGGAACTAGGGGAATCAATGCGTTCTCTCCCGTTAAATCGAAGCAGACCTTCAGCAGCTTGTTTCAGCTACTGCTGAGAATTGCGTGGTGGCTTGATCGCTCAGTGTAGAACTGTCGATAGTTTTGCGTATGAGCTTGGTCTTGCTCGAGAGCCCGAAGAAGAAACTTTCGGGAAAATTGACCGCGGTCCGCGGGCCTTATCTGAACCTGACTATAGAGGAAGGATATAATTTATTTATTTTATTTTATTTTTTTGTGGAGAGGAAGGATCTGATTTTAGTTTATCTGGACAAGTCCGAATCTGGACAGTCGGATGTTTTCCCCTTTCGGATAACCGGACATCAGGAGTTCTACCGCGCGCCATTGTTTTTCTTCGGCCTCGTTTAGTTGGAGATTTTTTTTTTTTTGAAACGGTCCTGTAACACTTTCGTTGCTATTTGATAATTAGTGTCTAATCATAGTCTAATTAGGTTTAAAAGATTCGTCTCGTGAATTTCGTCTAAACTGTATAATTAATTTTATTTTTTATTTATATTTAATGCTTCATGCATGCGTTAAAGATTCGATGTGACGGCGAATCTTGAAAAATTTTGCAAAATTTTAGGGTACCGTGTAGTGTTCCAGTTGACCAGTTCGCAACTAAAAGAAAGATCAACAAATTCTCGGCTCGCAGCTCTCAACTCCGAAGCGAAGAAGGGAGCCTGGCCTGGCAACCGGTGAAGCCGCCATGGTCGCTGTCCGAGACCAGAAAACGGAATCCTTCGTCACCCACCCAGGGGGCTCGGCCAGGATCACCACCACCGGAATTTCCGGTGGCGCCGTGGAGCTCGGATCGCCCAGATCCGCGTGTTGGCGCGTAGTGCCGAGCTGAAGAATCGGGGTCGGGGCATTCCGCATTCGGGCGGTCCTCCAATGTCGCGCAAGGATGACGAAGGAGACCGTGTTTGATGCACGGCCACACGGGGCAGGAGCGTGGCCGAGCAATACTCCGCTGGGTCGCGTTGCGTGTGTGGCTGGCTCGGCTTTGACCCCGCCACGGCACGCTACGGCGCCAGCGGCAGCAGCAGTTTACACATGGTTGCGATCCACCGGTCACGCCCGGCTCCTACGGCCCATCACAATATCACATGCATGATGGGTGTGCTCTCTGCGTTGCATGTCATTGAAGTCACATGCCGTATAGCCCTCTGTATTTTAGTTTTAGTACTGGACAGATGAAATCTTGCAGTGCCGATCAGTGTTCTTCTCCTCCTGCCGGAGCAGGGGCACATGCCTTGACCACTTAACCCTACGGGATACGGTCATACGGACGCTGTCTCACGAACCGATAGGACACGGCGCACGCAGAACGTCTGGGGCTGGGGACGTTCGTTCCCGCAAGTTGAATGCCATTTTCCGCGCGCGCAGCCCCAGTGCATTCAGATTCAGTAAACCGGGTCAGATCACCGAGCGAGACCAGGCAGGCAGGCAGGCAGGCAGCAGCAGCCCAGTGGGCGACAGGGCATATCATCAGGCAGATAAGCCGCGGCTGCACGGCATCAAGTGGTGGTACTGGTACTAGCCCCGTATGGCGGCAGCGGTGGGGCGGGAGCGGGGGTAGATGGAGCGAGCGGTCGCTGAGGTTGTGACCACTGGCTCGCGCAGGCGGCAGGGCGGCCCTTACCACCCCGACTGCCGTGACAGGCACTGCCGCTGCGTGTCGTTGGCTGCCCTTCACGTTCCCAAGCCCTGTTTCAAGTGTCTACGGCAGTGGCAGTGCTATCTTGTTTCTCAAGTCGACAGGGACGTCAAATGAGTGTTTATTCCGGGAATAATATAAATATCCAGCAGAAAACAGCTACTAGTACGCACTACTGGTTGCGATGGTCCATCCGTAATCCATCCAGCTACTGATAAGCCATGCTTCAGCCGCTGAAGACTTATCACAAACGCAACCCCCAAGTTATGAAATGAGCAAAACCAAGGGCAACTACTAGTACTAGAAAAACAAATTCGCACATGACACGCAGGCGGGGGGCCAAGGCCAATAATCAGCGGGGGAATGGGGTACGGTACTAGTACTACGGTGGCGTGATTGCCTGGTTCGCTGACTGGCGATGGTCGTCTCCTCACGGCTCTCGTTTTCCCCGGGGACAATTTTTATCTCCTCACGGTTCCGGTGTGCGGGGGCTCCACGCATCAGCCAACCTATGGCCGCCGCCATGCCTCGTCGAGATTCCGACGACTCGATTGATATTTCATTTTCGCTATTATTATTCAGATAAAATAAAAATAGATATTGTCTTTTTCTTCATATTTTTTCCGCATGGGTGCGGCCGGCAACTTTTTTTTTTGTTTTTGTTGAGAATTATTATTTATGATCAATTAGGGAATAATCCCGAGGGGTGTCTTTTCACCCATCTCTATTTTCACACGTAACTGCTCATGTGGGCTCTGTATATATGTGTACAACACTGTTCAATGGAATATAACAGACAAACATTTGCATCACTCGCTTTGTCTCGCTCTCTAGTTTCTCACACATTATCACGCACGCTGTTCTTCCCTGAGAAGAAAGGCCGGCGAGCAGTTCGTGGCGATGGTAGACGAAAACAAGAACAAGCCATGGTGTTCTTCGCTCCGATGAAAGGTCGACGACGCTGCTGCTGTGATGGGAGGACAAGGAATCAGCCTCCACTGAATCGAGATATTGCGATTTCGAGAGGTATCTGCAATGATTCATACCTTCCATATTGTCGATTTCATTTTCTCGCTCCCCATGACAGGCGGCGACACGCGCCAACTGCTCTCGGCGCGTGTCGGCTCGCCTCCCAACGGCGGTGGCCCCTGACGGCCGCGTGCCGTGGTCGCGCTGCCCCCGGCGGGCTCCCGCGACTCGCAGAGGCGGCCCCATGGCTGTGCCCTCCGCCGGCGTGGTGGCGCCCCTAACGCGCCCGCGGAGGCGATCCCGTGGCTGCGCCTCGCGTGCAACGGCTAGCTGCGTCCAGGACCGCGGCGGCTGGCGGCCCATCCCACAAACGCAGAGGCGGCACCACGCCTGACACCCCGCGCGACATCCTCGTCCCGCCACTCGTGGCCCTCGCACGACACCCACGCCCGCGGCGAGTGAAAGGTACTTGTTTGGTTTTGGCAATTGAGTGACAAACTTAGGTGGACTAATATGTGTTTGAGTGAGATACACATGTGATTAGGCCACAAATACATCATGTGTGAGCAACCTATGCATGGAGGTGAAATGGCTTGGATATGTTGCAAGGCTCACACATGTGATGAAGGAGCTCATTATTGCATATGCGACATGACATGGAGTCATGTGACTAAGGCGGAGAAGATCAAGATAAGACTTGACTTGATGGACCGGTTGTAAGCGTGAAGGGCAAGTTGGAGGCTTTAGAGCGATGGACCGCGTGACGGTGAAGTTTGAGCAAGACTTAGTGCCGATGGACGAAGACAATGGTGAAAAGCAAGTGAGGTCAAGATTGATGAACCAATAAGGTCATACGATGATATGAAGTGGATCATATCATTTGTTGATCAAGGTTGGTGCATGTATTGCATGAACATCAAATGAGATGGAATGGAATTCGCAAGGCAAAGGTATAACATATATGTCATTTTATTTCACCGGTCCTAAGTGTATAAAGAAGTTTATGACTAGATTTAGGATAGATGACCATACTGTCAAGAAGAGCAAACTTGTTTGCACATCATTCGTTGATCAGCTTGGCTATCCACACGTCTCTCCGAAATCGGACAGCCTATCCACGTCGCTCGGTAAACCTCAGCCACATATTGCTCCACAAATATCTCCGGCCCCAGGAAAAAAAACGCTCCCTCATCACCTCCACTCCCACGCCGCTGCGCCTACCTCCCTCCACGCCATTGCTGTCGCCGTTGCGGGGCCTGTTCGGCAGGACTGAAAAATACTATTCCGGCTGATTGTTATGAGAGAAAAATATTGTTGTGGCAGGACGTGAACAGTGATTTTCGTGAGGTGGCTAGCCGGCCAGCCAGCCACCAGCCAGCCGAACACTGCCGAGGTGACGGCGCTGCGACGGGCCCCTTCCTCTCTCCCTCTCCCTCTCTCTCCCGAGGTGACGGCGCTGCGGCGGGCCCCGACCGCGGCGGCCTCCATGCGCTGCGCGCGGCCGTGGGCCCCGGCGGCGGGCGAGTTGACATCGACCTTTAGATTTCTCGATTCTACCGACTTGGCTTCCAAAGCCCTCGAGTTAGTGATTTCATCCCTGGCATCAGTTAGCTACGTAGCCACAAACTAGCGTAATCTGCTGGCAATCTTTCAGGCATTTTTGTCAGTATATATATAGAGTGCCACTATCCACAAGTTACAACCACCATTCAGAAATAGAGTATCGCTGCAAGCAAATAGAGAAAGCTCCTGTATTATTTTTCTTTCGTTCTGATAGTGATAGTTCCCGTTCATATACAATGCCACAATGGCTTGTTTCAACAAGGAATCCTGTGATAAAATTTAGAACAGAACAATGAATCAAAGTATCAAACCCTTCACGCTCATTAATGTACAGAGCATCCGTCCATCTTTTGACTCGATGCCAGGGTATCATGGCTGTAGGGCTTGTGCTTCAAGCAGAATGTTCGAGGCCAAATTGACATCGTAGTTGGTCAATGCAAGTGCCTGAATTGATGCACTGCGATCAAAGCCCATAGACACGAGTGCAGCAATAGAAGACTCCGTGGGATCTTGGGTAGCTGTGCGTGCATCCTGAATAAGATATGATCAGAAGCAAAGCTCAGTGATGAAAAATTAGGATCGGAAGAGAAGCAGAAAAATCTCCTGTTTCCAAACTTATGGTTGAGTCAAACACAATGAATAACGGACATCGGGCATACGTAGTACTATCAAGTTAGAAGGTACTAAAACTGAGATCAGTTAAAGATTAAGATTAATCTTTAGCTACGGTGCTCGCATTCTAGTATTCTACAGTTCAAACTTAATTCTAATTATTCATTTTCAAAACTGGAGTATAACTAACGTACTATTGTATGCATAATCGAGACTTTGCTCGAGTATTGTTAATCATGTGGTGCTCAAGTGTTGAGATATTGGCAGGCCTCCTGATTTGGTACCTAGAATCTGCTGATCTCCCCCACAAAATAGTGACATAAGGGGTTATTAAAAGAGTGCTTGCCTCAATTTGATGTGCCTGGTGAGAAGGGATACTTCCATTATTTTCTGTGGTCGGTAACCCTTGATATGGATTGTTAGAAAACGGCCATGACAACTGCGAGAAGAGCGATGTTGCAAACTCTGGGAACTGTTAAAGAAAATGTAGTCACATTTAGAATGCATGGCTACCACTCATCGCATCTCCCGAACGGGCTAGAAAGAGTTACCTTCAACCTATGGATGCCAAATGTATTCAGGCGATACAGAAGCCCAGCCAGTATGCCGGAAAGTCCAGGTACAAGAGAACGTCTTCCAGATGAGAAAAGAAGCTGATGACAGAGATCAAATATGTAAAGCTGTGACAGAGGGAGATTTGAAAAAAAAGGAAGACAAGTTATCTTAGAACTGAACCTGGAGTCCTGCCAAATATACAAATGACTTATCACTTAAGCTCAGTCCAAATATGCGGAACTTCATTGAGACAGGAATGTCAAAGAAGAATGGCACATAAGATGCAAAGATGAGGCCATATGGTCCTGACGTCAATGGATTTAGAGAAGGATCTACAATTCTGACATTAACTTGTTAGGCAAGAACCATATACACTAACTTGTTGCTATTGTGAAACAAGTAAATAAAAAAGAATAGAGTAAAATGTACCAAAGGTCCATTAACTTTTGAGAGGGTGTTATTTAGGTTCATCAACTCTATAACTGCATTTTTGGGTCTCTAAACTTTTTAAGTGATTTACCAGAGGTCCATACCCCTTCGTTTCTACAAATGTAAACATAAAACAAAGGGGTATGGACCTCTGATGAATCACTTAAAGTTTAGGGACAAAAAATGCAGTTTCAGAGTTGGACCTAGATGACGCCCTCTCAAAAGTTAATGGACCTCTGGTGCATTTTACTAAAAAGAATAAGCACAATTAACACCGGTATTTCTCTTAACTATCTTGTTCTCCTACAGCCCGTTAGCTGCAAGCTGCAGCAGGTATTCACCGGCTGTAAAATACTGTACTTTCACCTAAAAATGTTGCAGCTGCTGCAGCGAGCAGGCCCTTGTTTTAAATAGTTGTTTCAGAGAATGTGGTTGTGATGAGTTTTGTTTTTGAACGAATGGTTTAGTTGGCCTAGAATATGCATAAGCATTTTATGTGGTGGGACTAAGGATGTAACTGTAATTCTATAGATGCGCCTTCTATTTTGGGGTCCTGGAGCTGACACCTTAAGGATACAGTTTGCAATCAATATGATAAGCTGATACAAAACAATATCTCATACAAAAAACAAACCAATTCAAATGCGAAAATAGTTTAAGCAGGATTTAAAAGAAAGTATGCATTGACAAGTACCGACAAAAGGCATACCTTTTATGTAACCTAAAGCAAGGATCTGAAGCAGTACAGACACCATAGTCGAGAAGATGATGAAGACCTATATTTCAAATAATTACATCAACATATGCAAATCTTACTATAATAACTGCATGTCAAACACCTTGAGCACAAAACTACTTACAGCATACTTGTTAGAACCTATTTGTCGCTCGAACACCCTAAAGTAGTATAGCAGGGCCGCTCCAAAGATCAGCTCGGGGGTTGACGAGAAAGCAAACAATGAGGTGATCAGCCTCCAGATACTCAGCTTTTCATAAACCCTCTGCATAGACAAAGTATGATGAACCCAATTAGCTGTCTATTATAGCACGGCAGTCAGATTTCCCTGTAATCATCTAGTACCCAATTGCGGCTCAAAAATGGACAAGGGCATGGAAAATTCAGCTACGTCTGCATTTTCAGAAATAAAAAGTAGAGGACACATATATAGAACGAACAAGGAAGCAACTAATTCCACAATTAAGCAAACAAGTGTCACCCTCGGTGAGAATGTTCTCTCGAACAGTTAGGATCTCAGACTCTCAGTACACGGGCATTGGGGAGGGCAAGGGCGACTTGCCTGGTAGGACAGGCCGAGGTAGAGGGAGCGGCCGCGGAAGCCGAAGGGGACGGAGAAGAGAGCTGCGGCGACGACCACGGCCCTCGACGCCGGCGCATTGTCTGCGCAGAACCAGATCGAATCGCGCTAAGATCGATGCCGTAACAGAGGAGCAGAGATAAGGGAATTCGAAGCGGATTTTTTTTATAGGAAAAGTAGGAGAACGGGAGGACCGAGAGGTGAGGTGGCGTACGGACTCCAGGGAGCCCGCCGTTCATCGCCGGTCCCGGCGCAGTGGCGGAGGCGAGCAGGTCCACGCCTGAGCTGGCCCGGTGGAAGCGGGCGAGCCAGCGCCCAGCTGTCGGGCGGCAGAAACTTTCTGGAAGCGCAGAAGAGATCCCTAGCGGCCTAGCCCGAGTCTGACTTGTGAGTTGTGACAGTGATAGAGACGAATGTGCGTGACACAACGGCAAAGGGCAAATGTTTCAGCCTGTTCCCTGTTCGCGTATACGACCGTGGAGGATAGGTTGGAAACAGTATTTTTCTCCTACACCAAATTAGTCAACAGTAAATAATTCACGATCGTTTACGACGAAACGAACAAACTGTTTACTTGCAATGTGGTGTTTTTTTAAGACTCGTGTATTGGAATATTATTACTCCACCTGTTCTCAGATAAATCAATTCCTAAAATCTATGTCAGATAAATCAATTCCTAGAATATGTGTCAATCAAACTTTTTTAAATTTAACTAATTTTATAGAAAAAAGTAATAACACCTATGACATAAAAGTAGCACATTACGATAAATCTAATGATACTAGTTTGATATTATAAATCTTGATGTTTTTTTTATAGATTCGGTCCAAGTTTAAAAGATTTAACTTAAAACAACTTTACGAATCTATTTATTCAAGGACGGAGAGAGTATAAGCATAGAGTACAGAATTTTAGGAATTTAATTACCAATTACATGAAAACTTCTATCGATGAGCTGGGCAAACAAAACATGAACTGCTCGAAGGGATTGGGCCGGCTCGCTGCACTGCTGCTACAGTAGAGCAGAGATGAACATTAAGACCTTTGGCTGCCTTTAGGCTTTAGCCTCATGCTACGGTACCAGAATAGTCAGAGCCGAAAGAGTCACAAGTCGTGACTTCTCAGTTCATTTTTCATATAAGATTGAAAAATGGCTCTTATAAACAGTATTGCTGCAGAGCTAATTAGTGAGAGCCTTTGTAAGAGTCATTGTACCCGTGCTGCAAGAAGTGCATCTGAACTGGCTGATTAGTTACTTTGTAGAAGTCATAAACTCATAATCTGCTGAAAAATATAAGGTGGGTCTCAAAATCATCCTCATCTCCTAGATCTTTGAAACTTGGCTAGTTTATAGGATTGTTCATAGGTTGCAAATCATCTATGAGTTTGGATAAGTTGAGAAAACTAGATGAATCTATGTGCTTATTTTGCTAGTTAGTTGTTTTAGTTTATCCAATAAAATTTAAGTAGTGACGGACCAGGGTCCTAGAGGTTTTCCATGAGGGTACTACTTGGATGGGTCCTGAAATGACCCACGATTTGTTGAAGCACGCGAGATAAGGTGACATGGACTTCAAGTTATTCCAGATGGACTTACTCACCTTACTTTAAAAGCTAGATTTGTAATAGGATTAGGACTTTTCTCTTGTAACCGACTAGGACTAGATACGTGCCCTTACCCTCTCCCCTATATAAAGAGAGGTACGGTACACCCCTTGTAACCCTAACAATCATACCAATCAAAAGACTACACACCGACTGAACGTAAAGGCTATTACTCGACAAGAGGGCCCGAACCAGTACAAACCGTTCGTTTCTTTGCGTTTACTGTCGAGTTCTGTATACGCTGAAGCCCTTCAAACATCGTCTCGGGTAACCCCGTGATGAGTTGCCGGTCATCAAATATCGACAGCTGGCGCGTCAGGTAGGGGCTTTCGGTGACTTCACAATTAAGAGCTCGGCGGACCTCGATGACATGATTTTCTTGGCGGGTACCACCTTCATCTTTGGCTTCTGGATCTGCAAGGCAGACGATAACGGCAAGCTCCAAAGTCGTCTCATGGAGATCTCGGCGCCTCAAGCTTCACCAGACGTCTCGACGACCACGCTAGATCAACTCGCCGAGAAGTTTTCGCACCTCTCGATCTCCGATCTAACTCGAACACAGGAGGTCACCATCAATCAAGACTCCCACTCGGACATGTCACCTTTGTCCGGGCTAGAGATCCCATATGAAGTCCAAGACGAAGACCCAGTTCGTTTTCCAATCAGACTCAAGAACTTAGCTTCAATCTATCAAGATACGATCAGCTACCTCGTGCAGTCTGAGAGAGAAATCCCTCTGACGGGTGCCCAGAGGGGTTTGGTTCTATCCATCACACCCGAAGGAGGCATCGTCCATTGGCCGGGTGCTTGACCCGACACTTCTTTAACAGATCCATCTCATCTAGTTGGCATGGTGGAACTCTTGCCTTATCAAGACGGCAGAACTCTTCCAGCGGATAACAATGATCACGGATCTACAGAGATCTTGGATAGCACGACGACTGTAGAATCTGTAACACGCTCGGCCATTAGGCACTCTAGAGAAGTCTTTATGGCTGGGAAACCACCTCAGATCCCTATGCCTAACCCACAAGATATTCAAGATGGAGAAGAAGCCTTGTCCGACATCTCCTCAGACACCGCGCCACCCAATGGAAAGACGGATGAGCAGAAGACGACTAGGGAAAGGAAGAGCAGAGCTCAACAGGCTCGGCGCAACCACGCCCAACACTGCAAGGAAGAGTGGCAGCAACATCAATCGGCTTGTCGAGACGTTGAACAACGACGCTTGGCTGCAGAGGCAGCATATGAACAACGTCTACGGGATGAAGAAGCAGAACGACAACACCGAGATCGTGATGTCGTCAGAGCCTCTGCATCACACAACCTTGAGCCTGAGTTCATGGAAGTAGCTATACATAGGGTCTTCACTACACCCTACGCCAACATCTACGCCCTGGTAGAAGATATGGCGGCCATAGAAAACCCTACCCCAGATTAGCAACAACTCAAAGTCATCCTGGAATCCACAACCCTTTAGATGTAGGCCGCAAAAGCGACATCCCTAGCTAACCCTTCTCGAGGACTAGAGGCACGGGCACCAGCCCACTCTCATATAGGACCGTAGGGTAACCAAGGAGGAGGACCGCAAGTACCAGCCAACTCCCGTCCATGGCCGTAGGATAACCAAAACAGGAATCAGGGTGCCACACGGTTAGCCTATCATGGGCACCAGTAGAGCAATAGGGAGGACAGAGGCGAGTCTGAGTACAGAGAGGCCGGCATCTCACCGGATAGGTTCCTATATTTCTCTAATAGACTACTCTCTGTCTAGCTTCCCTATAAGTTCAAGCCGTCCAACCATACCAAGTACGACGGGAAGACAAAACCCAACCAATGGTTGCGCATCTGCTCTCAGTCTATCGAGTTGGCAGGCGGCGACAACGACATCAAAGTGTTATATTTTCCCATGGCGCTTGACATTGTGCCTCTCGCCTGGTTTGATAAGCTATGAGCCAACTCCATTGATACTTGAGAACAACTTTAGCGCAAATTCTGTAAAATCTTTTGCGACGTCCTCACCCACCCAAGTGAAAGGTCCTTGTTTGGTTTTGGTAATTGAATAAAAACCTAGGTGGACTAATTGTGTTTAATATGAGATGCACAGGTGATTGGTCTATAGGTATATGTGTGTGAGCAACATATGCCATGGTCGTGCAAATGGCTTGGAGATGTTGCAAAGCTCACACATGTGATGAAGGAGCTCATTGCATATGAAACATGACATTGAGTCATGTGACCAAGATGGAGAAGATCAAGACAAGACTTGGCTTGATGGATGTTGACGGTCGTTAACACCAATTATAAACCGTCAACATAACCTGCATTTATATTTAATTCCATCACCAAACATAGGTATAGGGGTTTAAACTAATGAATTCTATGAGCTTTGGTAAATATTTGTATGGAGGAGGATTTATCTAGAAAATAGCTCCCGGGTCCACTATCATACACTCCAAACAAGCAAACCGATGACAACAAGTGATTAAACCCACGAAAACTACGAAAGACAACTCTAGAAGGTTCTAGAAGACACCATGCCGAAGCTTGGGCCAAACAGCCATGAAAGTGGGCCGGCCGGCCCAGCCCATAGGACGGCCGGCCTGTCACAGAGCCCGCTCGCCCTCCACCGCCTCATACTCCTTCCTACGATCTACACCATTGATTTTAAGATGGTTTTAGGTTGGTTTATCCAACGGTGGTCGAGGGAGTTGATGCGGATTGATGATGTAGCGATTCCTTGCCCCCTACTCCACCTCAATTCCTTGCCCCCTACTCCACCTCGGCCTATATATAGTAGCCCCTACCCCCCTCCCTAGAGGCCATCCTAAAACCTTAATTCATATCCTCCTCGTTAGGATCAAAGCCAGCTCTCAAGATGTAGAAGTAGAATAGCTCTAGTTGAGAGTTAGGGAGAGTTGAGCCACGCTCAGGTTCTGGAGAAATCTTCGGAGGTTGGATAATTTTTTGTATCTTACCGTTGCAAGACTTATGCTTTAATATAGTTATCTTCTCTATTCACTTTTATGCCTTTCATGTGTATAGTTAGTATAGTTATCATATCTTAGCATGAGATCTTCGCTCGC